CGACTTTAAAAATGGTGCGCATGACTTTTAAGAACGACTTTGAAACTCATGCGCACCAGTTTGAAAGTCGTGAGCACCAGATTGAAAGTCGTGTGCACCAGTTTGAAAGTCGTGCGCTCCAGTTTTTGAAAGCTGTTTGACCAGTTATAAAATGTCGTGCGCACGAGATTAAAAGTCGTGCGTACGAGATTAAAAGATTTTTCAAACTAGTGGGCACCAGATGAAATCTCCGGCAAACGAAAATATTTATATTTACATGGCACTTAAGGGGCTCCTTACATAATGATATATATATAAACACTTTCCCGATAAAATACAAAATAAGTAAAATATAAATACAAGGGTATACACAATGAAAACAACACCATAAAAACCTCATGTGGCTTAATCGCATCTCTGGACCCACCAGCATAAGGAACCCCAAAAGTCAAAAACCCGAAAGCTGGATGCACATATATCGAACCACACTAAGAGGTAAAATAGTAAAAAAAAACGTCAAATAGTGCAAAGACAAATAAAGGTAAAACTGTAAAGTAGATAAAATGCTACACAGAGTCAGCACCTAGAATCTAAACTCAAGACCATCCTGTAATATTTGTTAAGTAGACACTCTTTATTTTTTGTGTATTAGGTCTTGGTACTTTCCAAAGAACTTTTTGAGAAAAAGGACGAGGCGTTCTTTCACTATACCCTGGCTCATAACTGATAACGTTTTACAAACTCTGAGTAGTAGCTGCAAGCTCCCGAAATCGTATGAGTTGAGAAATGTATACTACATACGCGGGTAAAGTTGGTATACCGCTGCTAAGGCGAGGACCATTTATAATTTCAAAACTGAAATCATCTAGTTTGTCATAAGACTCTGGTATTGATATGACCATTGTAGTAAAATTCGGGTATATGTCTAAAAATGGGACAGAGGAAGCTGTATATGTGGTGTCTGGAATCTGTAATTCATGATTATTAATGGGACTAAATCAGAAATGTTTGTATTGTTAATAGAACATCTTCAATATACCCGTATGTAAAATTAGATGATATAGCTTCTTTGATTCAACCCTTACGAAAACAAAAACGTACACATTAAGATATTTCCAGTAGAAGACCATCAGGCCCCCTCTAACTCCACTCATTCGTGGATGCATTTTGCATTATATATTCAATGTTATTTACTTTTCGACAATTTACTGGACGTCTTGGATGCCTATATTACATGTAGCATTGCCTCTTGAATGATAACAGGTCGAAATATGGGTACAAACTATATATATCACCAAAACAAAAATGAAAGCATTAATTTACGTTCTTAGTAAGTAATTACACGCTTCAACCAATTACATATATCAATTGGTAAAAGAAATGTTGTTTTTTTATCATTAAGTCTGGTCACGCCTTGTCTTTCACGATCAAAATAATGCGTTGAATGATCTTTCACGATCAAAATAATGCGTTGAATGATTTTTCACGATCAAAATAATGCGTTGAATGATCTTTCACGATCAAAATAATGCGTTGAATGATCTTTCACGATAAATTTTGATTAAAAATCAACAAAATTATACTTTTTCAAAAATAATATGAACTTTTTCAAGTAATAGAATACTTTTATTTCACTGGACTATATGTCAAAATAAAGATTAAGTTTCAAATGTATCATGATATATTGGAATGTGACCATTATATACACAAAACGTGATTTTTTTAATAATTCTCATAGGATTGTGTGTCGCCTTTTGTGTTTTCTTAAAAAGTACTGCATTTTTTCTTTAACTTAGTGCACAGTATTATTAAGGAAGTTGAATCATTTTGACAGACATAAACATTTTTTCTGATTTGTTTCACCTTTTGAAATTACAGCAGATTTTTCACAGATTTTGAAGTAGAAATTACACTTAATTGCATTCACGATCTGATACCAGATATTTCATGATCCAATCGCAATGCTTCACCACCGTTAGTTATTCTTTCACGATCATTTTTTCTCGATATACCGAATGACACCCGTGTAAAAGGAATATTACACCGAATCGAGTTTGATTCCAAGTATCAATATCAACGTAAATAAACTCATCATAGATACCAGGCTTGACATTTTGTACGCCAGACGCGCGTCTACAAGAGACTCTTCGGTGACGCGCATTAAAAAGGCCAAATAGAGTACGAAGTTGAAGAGCATAATATAATGCCGGAAAGAATGCACTGATTATTGGGATAGTGATATTCTGGAAGGACTTGCAGTCAACGAGCAGTGGCATCGACCCAGTAGTAGTATTTACAGCTATTAAATATTAAATTATATTTTATGTATAGTATGCAAATTTAGAAAAATGAGAGAACAACTTTTACCTCCAAAAGCAAACAGCCCCGACCAACCATCTACAACTTTAAAATCCCCAAGTATATTCTTACAAAATTAAGGATTCTCAAGCTGTACAAGTAGATAAAAAGGAATGATAGAATTTTAATCCTACATAATACTTCTATAAAAACAGAGATGTGGCATCATTGCCAATGATACAACTATCAACAAGAATTGCAATTACATGGATATAAGCAAGTGTATGTGACTGTGTGGCCTTCAGCAATGAGTGCAACCCATAAAGTACTGTTAGCTATAAATTGCCCCGACAAGACAAAATGTCTTATAAGGTGTTACTGGTTTATTGTCGTTTGCTGGCTGCACCCTTCTTAACCATTACAATTAAACTAACATATAACTGGTGTTCAACATAGGCCGAGGTAGATATTTGATATTTAACGTCATTTTCAAATAGGGGATGTTTGTTGAGCGTTCACTTTATCTGATTTTAAGCTTGAGGAAAGAAAGCTGGTTGACGGAAAGTTTGAAGTAGACACGCAGCTGTAGCTCTTATGATCCTTGGGATATTTTAAGTAATATGTGAGCCTATGTTCCGCAGTTTATAAAAATCTACACAAGACAAAGGAGATACGGTTTCAAATATATTATGTTAGTGTCACTCTTGATCCCTTTTGAATCCTTTTGTCGTGTAGATCATTGCGTATTTGGGTAATTATCCTTCCTTGGCATTTTTTTAGGGGGAGGGGAGACTTTGAGCGTTCCTGGTGAATAAATCCAGAAAATCACTTCGGACGAATACATTTCTAAAGTGTTATTATCATTGGTATAGCACTGGGTCGATACCACTGCTGGTGGACTATAAGTCCCTTAGGATATCACCAGCTCAGTAGTCAGTGCTACGGCACCGACATGTTTCGTTACACATATTTCTTAAACTGTCAATTGACAAATGTAGAAGTTATTGACTTCTAAGGTTTCAACCCCCTCAGACAAAGTTGACGTAAGATAGATTTTGCATTTTGTTCAGGAAGCTCTAAGGGTGCTTACGTTTTGTCATTGATGGTTCCTGATAAAGTAATATCGTAAAAGTGCGTCTGACGCATAACATTTATAAAGTGTTTTTTTTTTTTAACCAAAGGATGCATGAAAAAATTGGTGTTTTAGATTTGTATGTATTATTTGCTTGATCAATTACGAAACATTATGAAACAGTTCCAATGATAAGTTACATATTTGTACGTGAAACAAAAACCAAAGCCCCTTTTATTTAAATAAAAAACCAGAAACAAAAACAACAATAAAACATTTTGAATAATTTTTTTTTACAGTCCTTATTTCTGTCAATAGCCTAGCGTCCTGTAAAAAACCGAACAGGCAGTACTTTACGAACAAATAGTGCAGCATATTTTAAGGCGTGTTCAGTTGAAATTGAAATCAAATCGAAAATGGATGCAAAGAGGTATATATAGTAGATGTCAAGTGGCAATTATGAGAAACCGACTATGTACACGTTATTCCAGATAAACTCTACAGGCCAGCATTTAGTACAGTTAAGCCAGTAATCAGATGACATTGTTCTAATAGCTTCAAATTATATTTTATTGGGGAAAACAATCATCATGTTTTAACTCAGTAGATTTTATTTCAAACAAACTATAATGAATAAAAATGAGTACAGGTAAGGCTGTATTCAGAGATCATCAATTAAATGGTGTCTTATTTTCTTCTTCTAGTTAAGTCTTGCTTACTGATTAAAAAGCGACAAAATTCGAAAGATACTCAGTACACTGTTACTACAAGAATAAATAACGATGGTCTGTTTAGCATCTGTTTATCCTTGTGTTTCTTTCCTCTTATTGTTGATAGCATGAATAAAAAACTCGTGGTAGAAAAGACTACGTTTAATACGGTACAATGGAACAATATACATAACTAACCTCAGAAAATTTTCACCCGATAAAGGAATCATAGGAATAATTTTTATTTTCATTTAAATATTTGCGTTTCAACGGTTTCCATCTTTAATTTTTTTTTCAGAATTAGAAAAAATGAAATGTGCAAAATTGCACACAATCAGTAACTCAATAGGCTAAACTAGACAATACAAATGTTTATGAGATAGCTTAAATAAAGTAAGGAATATACAAATGTATTTTTTTTAAAGATTACAGTCAAGGTCAACAAGATAGACAACGTTCAATAAACTGTTTGTTAATTAGAAAGGCAAATCAACATATTTAGATATAAAATCATATTCAAATGACTTTCTTACAACTTATAAATATTACAAAAGAGAGTTCATTTGGGTAATTGTCTTAAGGGAGCTACACCATTGTGAGAAAACCAAGATTTATTTCTAAGTGTCAAACACAGATAGCAAAGAGACTTTCCTATTTGGTATCTATTTTGGATGTCTTTGTGTTGAAAATAGTTCAAATAATTGTTTCTTTCAATAGCAACAACACATATCATAAATTGTTCATAATCGTTTTTGAGCTTTTAAAATCCAACAGTTTTGTAATTGTAATAACAAAATAAAGAACGATGGACAACGAAACCTCTTAAAGATCAGATCATCGAAAAAGACGTTTGATGAAGAAAAACAAGCAAATCATAACACAATATTATTTGTTTAAAGATTGGATTTATAATACCAATTCCTTATTAAGTAGATACTTACCACATGAGTTTTCATCCTCACAACTATATCCACAGTCACATTTGCCATCACAAACATTAGATAACCTTATACATCTACCATTGCCACAATGGTAGTCATCTGTCTTACATGGACCACCTGAAAAGAAGACACAATTTAGATATGTGTCGTAAGTGAGAGTGAATAGAAATCTATCACACTAGTTTTTCAATACAATATTCAATTTAAGCTTATGATTGAATAAAACTGTAGTCAGGTAATGTTCTTACTGTTAATATAAAATATATTCAATATACCTGCAATGTGTACATCGCATATATCTGAAAAATACTTTTAAAGTTATTCAGAAATATAAAAAAAGATATTAATTTAAAACATTAATATTACCCATCAAAATAATCAAAAGTGCAAGAGGGCCTCAGATTGGCCATGGAATACCTTTACTCATTCTATACAAAGTTGAAAAACAATCGTTAATAACTTGCAATGATAACTTAATTTTTCAATCCTACAAGCTTAAATTTTCAATCCAACAAACCTTATAAAAAATCCTACACGAAGGTTTACTGGTTACCTTTGTCTTTCAACAAATTGTTTTCTGTTATTTTATGTACATCTTATGTTTATCTTAACCCTTTTAGAGCTTATTTTAGATTTGAACTTTAATGATTATTGTGTTTGTGGGTTGATGTCTATTTTTTATGTTTATTCACTGTCTTCTATTCATTAATAGTTTGAACTTGTGCCTTCGGTAGACGGCAGTGACCATAAAATAAATGTTATCTCCCAATGGTATCAGTAAGGTAATTGCCTAATTAATGGTTGCATGTCATTTCCGTATTTACCGGATACTTGGCATTAACAGTCAAACACGATATTAATGCACTGGAAACTGCTTGAACTGTTCACACAAATAAATAGATTTGCTATAAATTTGCAATTGTCAGTATTTAAAAGTTAAGGATAAAGCGACACCCAACACCTAGATTAAATCTCATGGTGATCATTTTCACAATTTGGCAGAAATATTGTCTTTATCAAAGAATATCATATGTCATTTCTGCCGATAAGAAATTTTTTACTGGATTTTCGTGACATGTGATAATGAGGAAGCTGTCAAGACCTCTGATAATTAAACAGGAGTCTTTCATTTTTATTATACTCATTATTTTCTATTTTCTGTAATCTATTAGCATATTAGATAAAGCTCCGGTATATACCATCGTAAAAATTCGAAAATATCTTTTCTTAATGACTAAGCAATGGACATGATATGGTAAATGGTAGATGTAATGTTATAAATAAAAATATTTATTGCCAAATTTGGTTTGCAAGCTGTAACAACTAGAGATAACATCACATTACTGATCGACGACCCCAGTATTCCTATAAGTCGAAGGTTTTTGTTGCAGTATACGATAAATACTTTACCATGCATCATTCACTTTATTATGTTGTTGAAGATATGTGCGAAGGAGGAAATATCCCTTGATTTCTGGCTCTGATGAATCAACAATTTTCGCAGTAAAACAAATAAAGCACATATATAAATAAGAAGAGTATGAGTGCTAATGAGACAACTATCCATCCAAGTCAAAATGTGTAAACAATAAACAATTATAGGTCAAAGTACGGCCTTCAACACGGAGCCTTGGCTCACACCGAACAGCAAGCTATAAAGGGACCCGAAATGACTTTCGTAAAACAATTCAAACAGGAAAACCAACGGCCTAATCTATATAAAAAAAACGAGAAACACTTATGAACCACACCAACAAACGACAACCACTGAACAACAGGCTCTTGACTTAGGACAGGTGCATAAAAATGCAGCGGGTTTAAACGTTTTAACAGGCGCCAACCTTCACCCTAACCTGAAACAGTGGTGTAACATTACAACATAAAAAGACACACAATGAAATATCAATTGAATAGGCTTAACTCGATCAAAAAGTTATACACAAAAACATGCAAATATACACTGAACGAATAAGTTTGATCTATAGCTATGAGACAATATAAATAAAAAAGATGTATCAATGTCAGTCAACTTTAACCTAGGACAAAATGGCGTTAAATAAAGTAACGGACACAGGTAAATTTAAATATAATAATTTTGTTGTTAGGAGTACAGAAACATTTTTTACTAAATAAATTTGTTGTTCATAGTACGAGTACAGAAGTGAAAATGTATCGCCATACTAAATACTTATCAAAGGTGGTACATATTAAAAATAGTAAGACGAGATATAACACAAAATAAGTAAACTTAGAATAACGTAAATGCATTACAAATTGTGTCAACCGGTCAAATTAACACGAAAGTACGATTTGAGAGTACTTGCCATTACCGAAGGCTAGTTAAAAGCCAAAAACAATTGATATTAAAAAAAATCAAGCATCAGAGACTTAAATCAATTAAAACACATCCCAGGCAGGATTTAGTGTTTTAACCCCATAAACAGTCAAAGAAGACATGACTTGTGCAATGACAAAATAAAAGTAACGACAGGCAGTAGGATAGTTAGGATTTAACCTTATAATAAATATGTTTGATGTTCTATATAGATAAAACAATTTCTAAATAGAAATAAACGTGGATGTGTATATATACATCCCAAAAACCATTCGAAAAGAATACAAATTTAGTTATGTTTTAATTTGTTGATGACAAAATCGATGTTAGTGCCAATGAAAACAATATTCAAAGAACTTATTACCACATTGATAAGATAACTTTTACTAATAAGTTTGTTTAAAGGTTCGATAAGTTTACACGGATCACATAGTGATTTCCGCGCTTTTATGTCAATATTACCGTAAAATTTAGGATGTGAGATACCGTTTTTAATAAGTTTACTACAGGTACAGCCAAATTTACTAATCAAATCTTTGTATCTATGAAAGAATTTAGTAAATGTTTTAAGTAATTTATGGTAACGAAATCCCTGACTTAATAATTTACCAGTGATACATTGATTACGTACGTTAAAATCTATGACATCACTACACACACGGGCGTAACGAACGAGTTGGGGTATATAAACACCGTATGGGGGCGCCAAAGGAACATCGCCGTCTTAAAAAGGAAAATTAACAATAGGGAATGAAAAAAGTCTCTTTTGTCGTAAATTTTTGTATGGAGTTTCCCTTTAGAAATCAAAATGTCTAAATCTAGAAAAAGACAACTACTGCTGTTTATGTTAGATTTATTTAAAAAAAAGTTCCTTTGGGTAAATTTCGGTAGTATATTTAGAGAACTCTGGATTATTTAATGAAAAAATATCGTCAAGATAACGGTAGGTATTGTTGAATGTGTCAACCAAATGTACCAATGACGTGTCTTTACTGATTTTGGCCATAAACTGATTCATAGCAATATAGGAATAAATCTGCTTAAAAGGGCCGCAATTAGTGCCCATAGGAATACCTACTACCTATAACTTTTTCTTGGAAAGATTGTGCGGAAGTGTAGTGTAGAAAGTAGAAAAATCATAACTATCAACAGAATTAAAAGGACTATCAAAAGCACGTATTTTATCTAAAACCTCTAAAGAATTTTTAACACTCCAAAAATAATTAATACCATTATTTTCATAAACTTTATTACAAAGTTAATAACAAGTTCTTTGATAGTAGTAAGGGAGGTAGTTAGAAGCACTGACAGATTAGTAGTAGAACTCTTACTAGATGCGGAGATGAAACGAAATTAAAATGGTTGTTTGTGTAATTTAGGTAACCAGTACATAGTTGGGACTTTCACTTGTTCGGAAGAGGCTTTAAGCTGGGTAGTTGCAGTGATATGATTGTTTACAATTTGATTCTCTGTGGAGCGTACGGACCTCAATATAGAAGAATTGATAATTTCGTTTTGAAGAACTTCCCTGTAGTATATGCGTCACACCACCACTACGTAATTGGCTGTTTTGTCTGTCGGTACGAACACAAACCGCTTTGCGAGTACCTGGAGTTTATTTATTTGTTCTAGAAATGGGTATAACATGAACCCTATTATTAATTTCAGAATTGTTTTCAAAATGAGATATACGAATATATCAACAGTATTCATAATTTTATTCAAATAACTGTCTAGAGATTTTTTGTCAGATTTTTCACGTCTACACCAATTTTTACAGTAGACAGACAGAGCGTCTTTAATGATCTGACGACACTGTTTCCAATCTATAATAGATGAAGGACGATATTTAGGTCCTTTCTTAAGAAAAGTTTTGACCTCAAGGTCTTCAATGATGTTGAGATCTCCTGTAATGACATGACCATAGGGAACATATTTAAAACTAAATGTTTCACAGTCTCAAGTGGAAGGAGCATTATTTTCTATATTGACGTCTGATGTTACTGACGTATAATTAAAAATCAAACTTCTGCTGTTTTTTTTTTACGAAAACGAAATAATAGGTGGTTCTGTATTATGAAAATATGGAGGTATTTGGCTATGGATGGAAGAGTCATTGCATATACTAGATAAGTTAATAAAATCAATACCTCTATTTATATATTTTAATTTTTAAAAATGACGTTTATGATTTTCAGGTACAGCCAAATTTACTAATCAAATCTTTGTATCTATGAAAGAATTTAGTAAATGTTTTAAGTAATTTATGGTAACGAAATCCCTGACTTAATAATTTACCAGTGATACATTGATTACGTACGTTAAAATCTATGACATCACTACACACACGGGCGTAACGAACGAGTTGGGGTATATAAACACCGTATGGGGGCGCCAAAGGAACATCGCCGTCTAAAAAAGGAAAATTAACAATAGGGAATGAAAAATCGTCTCTTTTGTCGTAAATTTTTGTATGGAGTTTCCCTTTAGAAATCAAAATGCGAGTACTTGGAGTTTATTTGTTTATTCTAGAAATGGGTATAACATGAACCCTATTAATAATTTCAGAATTGTTTTCAAAATGAGATATACGAATGTATCAACAGTATTCATAATTTTATTCAAATAACTGTCTAGAGATTTTTTATCAGATTTTTCACGTTTACACCAATTTTTACAGTAGACAGACAGAGCGTCTTTATTGATCTGACGACACTGTTTCCAATCTATGATAGATGGAGGACGATATTTAGGTCCTTTCTTAAGAAAAGTTTTGACCTCAAGGTCTTCAATGATGTTGAGATCTCCTTAAATCTGCTTAAAAGGGCCGCAATTAGTGCCCATAGGAATACCTACTACCTATAACTTTTTCTTGGAAAGATTGTGCGGAAGTGTAGTGTAGAAAGTAGAAAAATCATAACTATCAACAGAATTAAAAGGACTATCAAAAGCACGTATTTTATCTAAAACCTCTAAAGAATTTTTAACACTCCAAAAATAATTAATACCATTATTTTCATAAACTTTATTACAAAAGTTAATAACAAGTTCTTTGATAGTAGTAAGGGAGGTAGTTAGAAGCACTGACAGATTAGTAGTAGAACTCTTACTAGATGCGGAGATGAAACGAAATTAAAATGGTTGTTTGTGTAATTTAGGTAACCAGTACATAGTTGGGACTTTCACATGTTCGGAAGAGGCTTTAAGCTGGGTAGTTGCAGTGATATGATTGTTTACAATTTGATTCTCTGTGGAGCGTACGGACCTCAATATAGAAGAATTGATAATTTCGTTTTGGAGAACTTCCCTGTAGTATATGCGTCACACCACCACTACGTAATTGGCTGTTTTGTCTGTTGGTACGAACACAAACCGCTTTGCGAGTACCTGGAGTTTATTTATTTATTCTAGAAATGGGTATAACATGAACCCTATTATTAATTTCAGAATTGTTTTCAAAATGAGATATACGAATATATCAACAGTATTCATAATTTTATTCAAATAACTGTCTAGAGATTTTTTGTCAGATTTTTCACGTCTACACCAATTTTTACAGTAGACAGACAGAGCGTCTTTAATGATCTGACGACACTGTTTCCAATCTATAATAGATGAAGGACGATATTTAGGTCCTTTCTTAAGAAAAGTTTTGACCTCAAGGTCTTCAATGATGTTGAGATCTCCTGTAATGACATGACCATAGGGAACATATTTAAAACTAAATGTTTCACAGTCTCAAGTGGAAGGAGCATTATTTTCTATATTGACGTCTGATGTTACTGACGTATAATTAAAAATCAAACTTCTGCTGTTTTTTTTTTACGAAAACGAAATAATAGGTGGTTCTGTATTATGAAAATATGGAGGTATTTGGCTATGGATGGAAGAGTCATTACATATACTAGATAAGTTAATAAAATCAATACCTCTATTTATATATTTTAATTTTTAAAAATGACGTTTATGATTTTCAGGTACAGCCAAATTTACTAATCAAATCTTTGTATCTATGAAAGAATTTAGTAAATGTTTTAAGTAATTTATGGTAACGAAATCCCTGACTTAATAATTTACCAGTGATACATTGATTACGTACGTTAAAATCTATGACATCACTACACACACGGGCGTAACGAACGAGTTGGGGTATATAAACACCGTATGGGGGCGCCAAAGGAACATCGCCGTCTAAAAAAGGAAAATTAACAATAGGGAATGAAAAATCGTCTCTTTTGTCGTAAATTTTTGTATGGAGTTTCCCTTTAGAAATCAAAATGCGAGTACTTGGAGTTTATTTGTTTATTCTAGAAATGGGTATAACATGAACCCTATTAATAATTTCAGAATTGTTTTCAAAATGAGATATACGAATGTATCAACAGTATTCATAATTTTATTCAAATAACTGTCTAGAGATTTTTTATCAGATTTTTCACGTTTACACCAATTTTTACAGTAGACAGACAGAGCGTCTTTAATGATCTGACGACACTGTTTCCAATCTATGATAGATGGAGGACGATATTTAGGTCCTTTCTTAAGAAAAGTTTTGACCTCAAGGTCTTCAATGATGTTGAGATCTCCTGTAATGACATGACCATAGGGAACATATCTAAAACTAGATGTTTCACAGTCTCAATTGGAAGGAGCATTATTTTCTATATTGACGTCTGATGTTACTGACGTATAATTAAAAGTCAAACTTCTGCTGGGTGTTTTTTACGAATACGAAATAATAGGTGGTTCTGTATTATGAAAATATGGAGGTATTTGGCTATGGATGGTAGAGGCATATAGAGTCATTGCATATACTAGATAAGTTAATAAAATCAATACCTCTATTTATATATTTTAGTTTTTAAAAATGACGTTTATGATTTTCAGGTTTATCGATACTAGAAAACAGCCTGTGACGACAATAGGCTGTAATAATACAGGTGTATTCATACAACGGGCTGAAAAAATGAAATTTTATCACACTAAAAAAAAATATCATATAGTTTACTTATTACTTTGCATAGTAATTGATGTCTACCATTATTTTTTATTATAGATAACAGATCAGCAAGTGTATAATTTATGCGATGTTTAATACGTAGATTACGGATTTTACGTTTACCATGAGACCTATTATTTCTTAGCCGTTTATCGACAATATTCATGAAGTTTTAGATATGTTCCCCTGTACCAATATTTTGTCATTGAGACCAAGAGGATAAGCTGTTTGAAGTCTTTTCATCCAAAATAGTTCGCGGGATTTTTCAAATTGTTTGTGTGATGCATGTATCACGACAGGAGTACCAGTAAATATACAATGATATTGGCAAGTTTAAAGCAATAGTAACGGGAAATTTGTTAACGTTCTTGATAATAAGGATGGATAAGGGACAATATAGAATAAGAGATTAGTTTGCCCCTTGTTCTCAGGTGTCGAAACAATTCAAGTAAAAATTGTATGAGTGTATGAATGTTGTATATTACAGATCCCACTAAATAAATCTAGATTGCAATATCACTATAACATAGATGTTTTTTGCAGATTGCAAGTGCGAAAACATCAAAGTTCTGTAGAACGTATTTTTAAATCTATGATACTTCAAAATATTTGCGGTAAGACATTGATGTCTAAGGGACATTTGCCTATTCAAAATTAGTCAAAACATGTCCTTATCATACATTGTCATATACATTTGTATATTATAATTCATAGTTTATCAATGTTGAGGATCTAAGTGTATTTAAACTCACAGTCAGTTTCATCCGATTGGTCGTTACAATCAACCCAACCATCACAGACTAAGTCCATATTTTTGTATGTTCCATCTCCACATCTGAAGTAAGAACCTTAAAAAAAATACAAAATTTTAAAATACATCAAGCCATTATAGACCAATCAAATATTTTGATGAGTAAAATGAGACCAAGCAATAACTATTTATCAATAAATTATTACAGGATTTAACACATTTTTACTATATGTTATGAATGTGTAAACTTGGGCGATTAACTCACAAACTGTATTAAAGTCCAAAGGAAAAGTAGAGATTGTAAGTCAGCGGACCAATTTAAGCATCAATAACATCTAGAAAAAAGTGTTTGATCCTTTTTTATTCTTTACTAAAACATTGGCCCTTTTAAATCAACAATATGTTACATTTGCTACTACCCTCAAATCCACAGATGACATGTCGTTACAACGGATGAGCTGCCATATTAACTTCCAGAATTTATTTAATGTCCAATTAATGCAATTGAATCGGAAATGAAACAATACATACCTCAGAAACTCAATTATAATGAGATATTATCAGAATTTGAACTGTATTAATTACGAAATAATTTCAGGTTTGAAAAATTTTGCGTAATTCTATTTTAGTTTAATTTATAAATATTAACGAGCTCTAACACATTATTTCCTTTTTTAGTGTATTATAATTTGAGCAATGCTTTTTAGGCTATGTTAATTTTCAATTTTCTTGGAACGCTACGGTCCAATGCCTGTGTATCGGTATATAGCGCATGAATAAGTCAAAGTGAAGTTGACATATTGTTCAAATAGGTTACAAAAGTAGTTTCGACAACATGGTCTATCGAAAGGTAAACCAAAGGAAAAAAATAGCGAACCAATCCCATTCAAGCATTATTAAATATGCAAATCATATAAGAATTATTCGATTGAACTTTTTCACATCTTTCGATTATTGCAGAAGGATTTTGTTTCTCATATATTACAAAGATTTTTGAGTTGGTAAAGAAGGATTGGGATCGCTGTTTTGTTTACATAAAGGTTCTGGTGGGTATTCAACTATAAGCTAAAGAACTCACACGTTACCTCACGACCGCATTACGTTACAAAGATATACATCTTTCATCTTAATCTATAATTGCTAAACATGTTTTTGAATGATTGCATATCTGTATTTCAATTTAAATGTAGAGATTTATCATATCTTTATAGATTTTAAAATTGCAGTTCAATTGCATCTAAAAATTCACCAAGTCATTACAGGTGAAATCATTTGCCTTTATTCTTATCACCATCTGAAAAGTCTGAACTTGAAAACCTGAAGTCTTGTTTATTTTTTCATTTTATTTTTCAGATGTGGTATGAGTGCCAATGAGACAACTATCCATCCAAGTCACAATTTGTAAAAGTAAACCATTATAGGTCAAAGTACGGCCTTCAACACGGAGCCTTGGCTCACACAGAACAGCAAGCTATAAAGGGACCAAAAAATGACTAGTGTAAAACCATTCAAACAGGAAAATCAACGGTCTAATCTATATAAAAAACGAAAAACGAGAAACACTTATGAACCACATCAACAAACGACAACCACTGAACATCAGGTTCCTGACTTAGGACAGGTGCAAACAAATGCAGCGGGTTTAAACGTTTTAATAGGCGTTAACCTTCACCCTAACCTGAAACAATAGTGCAACATAGAAAGACACAATATAAACTATCAATTGAAATAGCTTAACTCAATCAAAAGACATATTAACAAAAACAAGTGAACATACACTGAACGAATAAATATGATCTATGACACAATGTAAATACAAAATTAATAAAAAAAAAGGTGGTTAGATGTAAAACAATATCAGAAAGACAACCATGACCTTGGACAAAATCCCGCCAAATATAATAACGTACACAGGTAAATAAAAATAATTTTGTTTTAAGGTATACATGAAGTACGGAAATATTTTGCACAAAAGAAATAATTTTGTTATTCTTAAAACGAGAATAGAAGTGAAAATTTATCGTCATACCAAACACTTGGTGGTATATATTTAAAATAGTGAGACGAGATTTAACACTAAATAAGTAAACATTAAGTAACACAAATGCATTACAAATTGTATCAACAGGTTAAATTAACACGAAAGTACGATTGGAGAGTACTGGCAGTTACTGGAAGCTAGTTAAAAGCCAAAAACAATTAATAATAATTTAATTTTGGATGTAACGCGTCTTCTGATTGGCTGCCGTTGTTTTGTTTATCAGCTCATAGATATAATTTTGTCATGTGACCGTGACGTCATCAACGTTTTTTTCATGGTTTACTCCGGTTTAAAATGGAATTTAGAATTAAATTATAAGAAATGACTGTAATATTTTTTCTGTCTATTCGAAATAACATAAAAAATGTGGTGCACACTTTAAAATAACCCGCTACGCGGGTTATTCAGTGTGCACCACATTTTTGATGTTATTTCTTCATAGACAGAAAAAGTATTAGAGTCATTTCTTAAATAAAAAAATCATCCATCAGAGACTAAAATCAACTAAAACACATCCCAGGGATTTAGTGTTTTAACGTCATGTACAGTCGAAGAAGACATGACTTGTGCAATGTCAAAACAAAAGTATCGACAGGCAGTAGGATAGTTAGGAGTTAACCTTTTGATAAATATGTATAATGTTTTATATATAAATAGAGTAATCTCTATATAGAAAATGAACATGGATGTGTATTTATACATCCCAAAAAATCGTTTAAAAAGAATAGAAATTTAGTTATGGTTATTCGTTGATGACACAATCGATATTTGTGCCAATGAAAACTATATTCAAAGATCTAATTAAAACATTGGTAAGATAACATTTACTTATAAGTTTGTTTAAAGGTTCGATGAGTTTACACGGATCACATAGTGATTTTCGCGCTTTTAGTACAATATTACCGAAAAATTTAGGATGTGAGATACCGTTTTAATGAGTTTTCTACAGGTTCAGCCAAATTTACTAATCAAATCTTTGTAACTATGAAAGAATTTAGTAACTGTTTTAAGTAATTTATGGTAACGAAATCCCTGACTTAATAATATACCAGTGATGCATTGATTACGTTCGTTAAAATCTATGACATCACTACACTCACGAGCATAACGAACGAGTTAAGATATATAAACACCGTATGAAAAATAGACCGAACAGATCTTAACTTACTGCAACTAATGTGTTTGAACATTTACTGAATTTATAACAGCGGATATTTCTGAAAATTGATTGAAAGAGTGGACATGACTGATTAATTTATTGTGCAGCCTTTTAGAACTGTTCAAATCAAATGACCGATTCAGTTGAAAATATATTAACTAGTGATATTTCTAGAATGAGATTCTTTCAAACAATGAATTTTACTCATAACAAGAAATTATTGAATCAAGAGTCTTCGTATGTTTTGAAGGATATTGTTGCAGCTCTATGGCAATTTAACCCTCTTGCTGATGCTTAATTAATGTGGCTATATTTCTTTTGCCACGATATACAGCAGTTGTGTGTCGCCAGTAACGTCACAATGCCAAACTATGACGTCATGCGATATATGAAGTATCGTCCTGATGAAGTTACATAGGAGATTTATTGAAGAAAAAGATCACATTGTATAATCTACGATGTTTTATTTGAAAGAAATACAGTAATGAGTAGGTGTTTGTATAGATGAAAAATTTGGACATATGTGTCCATCCGGCATATGCCAGTACAACTCTTGTTGAGTAAAGAAAATGCAAATTAAGTTGTTTTCTATGTGTAACACCGGTATACTACTGTTGCCTTTATTTATCCCATTATATATCCCCAACTGTGTAGATGTCATACAATTCGTGTTTATTTCGTTGAGAATACCTAAACATAGGAATAACACCATTATACGTCAGTCTATGTTTACAATAGGTACCTCATCACAAGTCTGACTGAATAGTTATGTCGTCATTCAGATGTAATGGCGATTCTGCTAAGCTTTCTAATGCCTCAAAAGTTAGCAATAAACTATTGTACATTTCGATATCATTGATTAAAATATAAATCATCACAGGTCTTGTTGCAGAGATTATTTTTTGACCAGTTTCAAAATGTAAATGATGCATCATCACAGGGTTTCATTTTACACGCGATACACCATCACATTTTTGATTGTATAAAGATTACTCCAGATCTCATTGTGTAAAAACGTATTAAAAATATACCGAACTCAAAGGTTAATCACAAAAGTGTGTAAGTTAAAAACTTAATTTGTGATTACTTGACCTTCGCGCAATGCAATCTATGATGACACAATCATTATTCAATTAACCTTTGATTGTTTGATGGCTTAACAATTGCAATGGAAAAACAATAATTATGCATTTTAAAACACAGAATTAATGTTTACAAAGGTACTGTCAAGGAGAAGGTTGTAAAAATACAAAGAATGAAGTTAAACTGACCACAATTTGTTTCATCACTAGCATCCTCACAGTTAATTTCACCATCGCAGAGATATCCATAAAATATGCACTGAGAATTGTTACAGCGAAACTGGGATTGGTGAAAACAGTCAGAGTATTCTAAAAGAAAAAGAAAAACGTATAATTTTCAGGAATGATACACAAATCAATACTTTATTCGATAATTTAGGCTATATTCTTATCCCCTTAAATCTAAAATTGGAACGTCAAATATTTAAACATATGATGAAAATTGCAACGTGTTCGTCTGTGCAGATGAAACGGATTTTGTATTTTGATTATGTTTTTAAAAATAAATAAAAATTAAAATCATTGTTAGTTGATCTGACCAATATTCAATATCAACTTTAACCCTTAAGATTTTCTTCCTCCAGGCATAACATTACTGAATTTTCGTTTTTTAATACTCTAAATAAATAACAATAAATAACAAAACAACGGTAAACAATTTTTGTATCTAATTAATCATAAATTACTACAGTTTGATTATATAGCTAATCATACAATTAACCACACTTTACTGCGGATTCATTGTTTTTCGAGGGATATCAATTTTCGTGGATTTCGTGGGTAAAGGTGAACCACGAATTAAGATGTTCAACGAAATACAAATCTTATATTGGCTTGTCTTCAGACTTTGGCAAAGCCACGAAATCAGTTTTCCCCGAACATACAATTTGGCAAAACCACGAAATCAAATTTCCACGAACATACAATTTTTCCTCAATCCATGAAAATTGGTACCCACGAAAATGAATGAATACACAGTATATTTTTTCGATTTTTTCCCCAACAATAAATACATACGGCAGTGTTGCTCATCAGACCAATCGCCACAGTCATTTTCAAAATTACATGCTACATCTTGTGGTACACAAAAATGGTTTTTACATTTACTGTGAGTTGGTAGACATTCGTATACCTCTGAAAAAAAAATGATTCATTAGCAGTGAAAATCACTTTAACATGTAAGTGACGAATGCATATCCATGTTTCTTTGTATATCTAAGTATCCAAATTGTCTCAACATTACTCATGCGATACCGCATATTAACTTAATAGTCACTAATAGAGAGCACCCCATTCATGTTATGCCTGGATACGCCACTGTATGCTATGACAGGTATTTTTTAGTGTGTCTAATCTACTGTTATTACAACATCGTATACCAGTAGAATAAGACACACTACAAATACTTTGTTACGATTATAATATTAACAGCTGTATGCATCCTAATCTTTTGGTCATTGATGGATATTTGTCTTTTTAGAAATCATACCAGATCTCCTTTATTTTAATAATAATATGACACAGAAATCTCACAGCGCATTACCTAAACATGTGGTCAAATGGGTTTTGTTCATTGTTGAAGGCCAAATGGCGGAACGATGACCTAGAGTTGCTAACTTAGACGTCATTTTTGACTCTCGTGAAGAGTTGTCTCATTGACAATCATACCACATCTTCTAATTTTTATAAAAGTCTTAATCTGTTTTAATATCCTACTTCATTAATGTAATACTAATGCATTGCATGTCATATATCCGTTCAACTTTGAAATTTTCATTTTATATTTAAGAAATCGAAAATAACTTGAACGGATGATTAGACAAATTTAAATCCATATATGCCGACAAATGATATTTGTACGTAATTGGGCGATAATATCCAGCAAACTCAAACTATTATGCAACTGTTAATGAAGCATGTATGACGCTGGTATTCTTAAAAGTATGTCAATTGCAAAACAAATGGAAATGATTTTCAAAAAAAGATCTTAGAAGATAAGGTTAATTGAAATGAGATCTTATAACTTTATTTAACAATGCTCCTACTTAATGAAATTCCTAAATTGCCTCGAGTAATAAGGATAAAGATACATTTCAATATTAGTTTCACGGCAGAAATAAATCAAATTAGCAAAAATGACTTTAACATAAAAGATTTACACGAAAAATTGAAATTGGTATAAATATTTAAGTGTTAAATACTAAACAACTGTTACATTTATAAAGTATAATCATAACATACAAGTTCTATTACTTTAATATTGTCAATTCATAAGTTTGGTAATGGTATAATTTAATTGTATCAATATCACGAAATCCTACTATCAAAGTTGACTTTAGCTTCTTTTGGTTACTTTTGTCATTGCTCAGGTTCTCAGGAGTACCCGATGAAAGTTATTTCTACTGAAATCTGTCTCGTTTCTCAAACGTTTACATTATTTTCACTTGGTCGCTACTACTAATTTTAATGGACTGTCCGTTCTCGAGAGTACCATAAACTAGTATGTTTTTGGTTTTGGTACGACTTAGATCAAGCCAGATGTTATCATGAATCAAATTAGTCTTATGTAATCGACATTTATCGTTATCTTAGACGATAAAAACCAAAAGTGTGAAACATACACGTGTAGGGATATATTGCAATTGGAAACAAAATGGGAATGAAAAGAGTTGACCGAAACCACACAAGACTAACTTGGCCTAAATGGACCAAACCAAAACAAGATTTGTAAACTTTGCAAACTTTATTTGATATTTACTAGAATGTACAAATAAAACCGTGGCCAGTGTTGAAACAGTAATTCATCATACCCTTAAATGATAAACTATGATTGAACCGATTCAGTTTATTAATTGTATTAAAACTTGAACTGTCTTCCCCTCTGGCAAGGTTCACCTTTAGATGACTTTGACGTTTTTGTTCCGGTTTATGTGGTTTTGATGCTTCAAAAATATACCTGATGAAGTTATAACCTCGAACATATCCCGATTTACTTCCATAGTCCTGATTTTGTTCAGGCTTTTGTAAACAGATTCAGTGAGCTGCATAAAGGCAACAGAAGTTATCCAATGTTCAAAACTCGTAAATCGATTAATAAGAGACAAATCAAGGTAACAAACAAAAATGGGTTGAATCGCATGATTTCAAAAAGGTGCATCGACCAAGTAAGCGTCTACTTTTATACATGCAACTCCCGCCAATCGAATGAACACTCAGTCAAAAATTTACAACCAGGAATAGGGCAAAATCGGTTAAATTACATATCAAACGATTATAATGGTATCTTAAGATCTAAGACCGCGAATACATGTCGCTAGTAAGTTGAGACACCAACACATCGTATTTCAACCAATTCGTGACTGTGACCGTAAAGCTTATGTTGTGTCGATTTCAGTCGTTCTTCCACATAGCTCTGTTGGGACAGTTTTTGTGTAAAGAACACAACCCTGTTAATGTAGTCAAGTATCAGATTTAACGATGCTAACAAAATCAAATTGTGAATCTTATTTCTAGTTCCACATTATGTATATACATTCGGCAAAATGTATTTGAAGTGACAATAATTTAATAATTTGCAATATGATATAAATGACCCATTGCCATAATTTTAGAGAGCTTGTCATTCTTTGACATATAGCCTGGCACTTATGTCTTCAATCAAACCGGATTTGCATGTGACTTTGTACATGAAACACATCAAAATGCATTTAATTTTCTAATGTTTTGGTCTCAAGAGTACTTAATGAAGATAGTTCTTGTACAGTGAAATTTTCTTCAAAGTTTATGTTTGATATAATAAAAAAATGTATGTCCCTAACAAGAAATCATTTCATTGTATCAATTTTTCTACCAACCTTATATTGCTGATCGACATGCAAAACTGATATCTGTTGGCTGAATGATAGATTGTTAGTCTTAAAACTTTATTTTTACAATCAATAACTATTTATAAACTGTTCGGGTGGAATGTTTTATAACAAGCTTGAATCTAGTTGTCTTTGTTCATTAACTCATGTGACAAAAAAAGAACAAGCAATATTTTATGATATAACCATAATAAGTTATCTTATTAAATATTGTATTAAACTCTGTATCATCGAAACTAAAATAACAAGAGGCAATTAATTACTGATTACCAGAGATTGAGCAATTCGAATAACACTAGAAAAAGGGGATGAACTATCTTATAATAGTAGAAAAAACTAAATATTTTAACAATCTGTGAGGATTATATTTACCACACCCCTCCTCATCCTTTCCGTCTACACAATCCTGTTTTGTATCACAGCGTCTTATCATATCGATACACACACTCGCATTACATTGGAATTCGATGTCTTTCAGGCAACCTTAAGTAAAAAAAATTGTACCACATTGTGTTAGTGCATGCATGGCATTTCATTGAACTTTTATGATTTTAGACAACCTATAAATTGTAAACAGTCGTATCACACAGTGTTGCATGTCTAAACACACAATTGGTTTACATTTCAAATCTTTGTGATCCTTTGTATCTAAACCGATGTACCACATTTCTTTATGTACTTTTACAAGCGATGGTTTTTACTAGACTGAAATATTTTATTATAGTCCCTTTTCCACCCCAATAGCGAAATCATCCGAAAACCGATTTCACTACGAGGCGTTCGTACTGATTTTATGTCGCGCAGTTTCAAATAAACGTGCAAATTAGATATTATGTATTAAGCTTTGTACCATAGTTTGTAAAAAAATATATTGCAAACGTATAATTGATAATTTTTAGAACTATATTTTTGAAGATAGATAAATATCAACGATTTAATCTAGATAAGATTATTGGACTTTTTTCAAACTGCAAATGTATATCAAAATAATTACAATTTAAATTTTTGCATTGTTACAGTTTGTACCCTCTAGGGTCACTAGTTTTGTGTTGCTCATTTATATCTATTGGTCCATTTAACTAGCTTTACAGCGTTCTGATTGAAAATATAATTGATATTGATGTAATAACGTTGAACAAAATTTTTTTAAGGACGTACAATAAAAAATAGGGAATGTGTCCATGGGACACAAATGATGCCCCCTCTTGCATATAACATTATAAAGGGACAGAACTCAAGAACTGTAAAAGTGACGCTACCCAAATTTGTACTCGATCTGAGTTTTGTGGAAATAAGCATTGTTTATAAGTTTCATAACATTTGGTTGAGGCAAACTAAAGTTAGAGAACAGAAACGAATATTTCAGCAACTTTTCCATTTGTAATGGGGCATAACTCTAGAACTGTAAAAGTGACGCCACCAAAATTTAAACTTGACCTGTGTTTTGTGATAATTAGCATTGTGTATAAGCTTCATGTCATTTGGTTGAGGCAAACTAAAGTTAGAGAACGGAAGCGAAAAATTCAGCAATTGTTCCATTGGGAAAGGAGCATAACTCTAAAACAGTAAAAGTGACGCCACCAAAATTCAAACTTGATCTGTGTTTTGTGGCATTAAGTATTATGTACAAGTTTCATAACATTTGGTTGAGGCAAACTGAAGTTAGAGAACGGAAACCAATTTTGGGACGTACGGACGGACAAGGGTAAAACTTAATGCCCCCTCCGCTACGGCGGGGGCATAAAAATTAAATTAAAACATGTACAGACAAAAATAATCTGTTAAGAGCACAAGTTGCTCTTTAACCAATCTATTGATTACTCCATCGTTCCCCTTTGTGTCTTGATCATCAAAATAGTACACAGAAGAATTTAATAAAAACAAATTCAGAAAAACACTTAACTCTATATTATTGATAAAACATTGGCTGCTGTACTTCTGTCACATCACGAAAGTGTATGAAAATTACATTTTTTTTAAAAATCATCATAAATTTGTGAACAGAATTGCCATTTTGTCACGTTTGTCAAGTGATATTTGTTTGGCTTTCGTCGTGGTTTTTCTTTCTTTCTTTCAAATACCCTTTCAGTATTTTTAAACATTTGTTTGTTTACTACTGAGTTACTTAAACAACCTTACTTTATATATTTGCATACAATATTCATTTATGATTGACATTGAGAGAAAACATCAGTATAGATTCTATGATAACCATACACCATGATGAATACGGTAATTCAATTGATGTTTAAATAATTATCTTCTCTAGATATTATATTTCACATATTTTTGAAATAATACTTGAATGTTTTATCATAATCAAAGACTACATTTGAAGTTTGAATAGTTATATTGTTGGATTGCACTATCATTAAATACAAATCAAATGGCAATTAATATGTTATTATCCGTTTGTTTTCAGTTGTAATATTAGAAAAACAAAATGTACAGAATTAATCATCTTTCTCTCTCAGTATCATCAGTTCATGAATTTTCAATAGGCAATGCAAAAGGTCGTTTTGCTCTTCTCAGTTCAAGACGCAGATGTCTTTTGAGTACTACATGTTAAGTGGTTAATATCATAAATTATATATGACCAATCATATTATATGTATATCAACAGATAAAGCAACTAAAGGTTTTTGGTAGGAATTTATCCTGTACTGTTTTATTTGCAGCTGTTATGTTGTCGTTTTGATTTCCAATATTGTTTAATAAGTTATTTCACTGGACTGGTGTCCCTTGCATTACCTTTTTCCTTTTTTGTAATTCCATTAATGTAGCACTAGTACATGTCGTTTCCTTCAATTACTGATGTGCCTAATCTAAGTCAGGGATCTAGTGAGTGTCATTAAGTTGTTTGCCTATTTCAAAGCTTGGTGTCGAGGCAGATTTTTAATCGTTTGTTGAACTCATTTACAATTCGTATAGACCCCATGCGAGTTAGAGAGTGATATATGATACGAATGATTGTTTGTAATTGACAATAATATTTTGATCTGTATATGTTGCTTTTATTTATTTGTTTTGCCGTATACCAGATATCTCTTCCCGTTTATAATCGAAATATTCAGTCTACCCTGATAACTCGTTTATGGTCTTCTCTAAATGATCATTGATGTTTCAGAATAAACCTAAACCTATTTAGTTGTGTTACCTAGAAGTACTGCTGAACCTATTATCTATGAATATCCAGAAATGAGTCAACATTCATTAGCTATTCATACTTAAATATTAATCTCAGACCTTTTCAGATGCGCTTTTTGATTGGCACCGCTTTAGCTCTAAATGACAATAGTTCCAATAGAAGATTTTAACTAATAGACAATCCAGCCAGTAAACAATAACTTTAAAAACAATCAGACAACATATTGTCATTGAAAGACAGTAATAGGGTAAGATAACGAATTTAATGGTCTTTATTCTAAAGTTTTATTTTCCATGTTTAATTAAATATATTTTTACGTGCTTATTTTTGTCAGTATATATTAATGCTAATGCAAGTAAAATCTTATAATTTCCGTTTCACAAAAGATGCTTATCAAAGTGTTTTTCCCCTTCTGATATCTAACATTCTGATTGTTTTGAAGCATGGCAACTTTTCAAAATCATTGAAAGGTTGTAGATCTGTAGATTATGTAATATTATTTTATACTTCCGTTGTTTTGAGATCTTTTCTTGTTGTATCATGCTCCCAATTGTTCTTCCTAACTCGCCATAAAGATTTTGAATGCGAAGTCTTCTTATAAGGAGAAACACAGTTGAGAATTTTTAAAAGCCTTTCTGTTTATATTTTAGGCCAATTCATACACATGCCATGTTTTGTTTTCGTTTGTTGTTTTGTACATAAATCAGGCCGCTTGTTTTCTCGTTTAGATTGTTTTACATGTGTCATGTCGGGGTCTTTTATAGCTTGCTACGATGTATATGGTATGGTTTTTTGCTAATGACCTATAGATGCTAACGTCTACTTCGTTGGGTCTCTGGGGGAAAGTTGTCTCATTTGCAATCATATAACATCTTATCTTTATATAAATATTTCTCTTATTATTTTGTTATGATTTTGTTTGGTTATATTGAATTTTTTTATATTATTTTTCATCTGGGAACACTTAAGTATGATTCACACACAAATATATATTTTTTTCTTTTGAGCAATAACCTATAAAGATAAACAATTTACAAGGACTCCATTGAAAAGCTAAGTATTCATTGTTGATGTACATTTTTGTTAGATATGACAAATAAGATTTCCTATCACTTTTCGTCTTACATGGTTTCCGCAATCTTTTTTCTTTTGGCTTCCATTAGTGTAGTGTCAGTTGTTTTCTATGTCTTCTAGTAAATGTTGTTTGTTATTATTTTGGTATGTATCTAAATATCTATATATTTTAAGATTTTATTTTTTTAATCGAAAGTGTATGATAATGGTAATTTCTAAAATAGTTTCATATACTTTTGGTAACTGAGTCAGTAACCCGTATGTTAGACTATTTGTCCCAGGAAATATCATCTGCGCAGTAAAGTGACTAGGTACTGGCATGTTATAAATGATACACATGCTTGTAAACTTCAAATTCATTTATAATGTAATTGAACTAAAACTAAGGCAGTGACTGCCCTGGCAAAGTAGACCTTTTAGGTTAAGGCAGTGACTGCCCTGGCAAAGTAGACCTTTTAGGTTAAGGCAGTGACTGCCCTGGCAAAGTATACCTTTTAGGTTTTTGCTGTTTTGCATGCCCTTTTGGAGTCTCCGTCATATTTTTATTCACTTTTTATTTAATGCTTTCAAACAATTCCATTTTTTTTTGTCTTTTAAACATTTGGGATTTAGTATACATAATGAAAGGTAATAGAGAAACATGTGTGATGCGCTAAGAAGCCAGTAGTATTCATTTACTGAACTATTCTATGGTAAATATTTCACGTTCGTATTTATTATACTTAAGGTAGATGGGGTGTCTAAATTATAATCCATAGAATTTTTTAATAATTTGCCAAAATGTAGTTTATATCATGCTTTTTAAAAAGAAATAATAAAAATAATGGGTCACGGGGCTTATTTTCACGCTATAGGTTGTGCAAAATTGACAGATTTTGTATAGATTATGCATGGAAAACCCAATTTTCTGCCATAAAACGAAAACTACACCATAGAATTTTGAGATAAAATATGAGAAGATAGCTCTAATACTATGCTTTCAGATAAGAAAAAGAAAAAATGGGGTCACGGGACCCGTTTTTTTGCTACATAATAAAATAGGTAAATTCCTAACACATTCTATTGTAAAAGTAACTTTATCTGAATTATCTGCTCTTAATTTGAGTTGCCTCCCCTTATGTGGCAAAGTTGGAAAAATAGAATCAAACAAAAGTATTCTGTTTTTTTGTAAAATACAACCATAAATATGATAAAATATGTCATTTTCTATATTGAATTGAAAATTCTTACACATGAATTACCTACTACTCTCAAAATTTGC